TGCATTCGCAAAGCCTTAAGCCACAGACACCGACTCTGCATTATTAAGGCATCCCCTTTTTGTCATTGTTGTATGCATGGTTTTTGTGTGTCTGTATGCGTATGGGGGTTGGTGGCGGTAGCTTAGAGGTTTGTGCAGTTTCTTACTGGTATGGTAGTTTTAGTTATTAAGAGTATTCAGTTGCAAGTAGATGAAGTATTCCATTTCCAGCCTATATTCATTAGGGAGCCGCTGTGGCATAAGGGCCAGACACTCGCCTGCCGATCGGAAGGTATTGGGTTAAGGTTCTGTTGGAGATGAATTTTTCTTTTTGTGCAAAAATGAACTTGGTTTGCAGGTCGACTTAGCTTTGAATGGGTACCAGGTGCAGTCCTGGAAAGTAAAGGCGGTTGGCGTAATGCTGACCACATCACCCTCCAAGTGCCGATTGGTCAATAAAATATAGATCAATTTCCCCAATATGCCCGAAGGCGCGGGAAAGGTCCTTTACTTTACACCTTATAGGTCGCCAGGCAGGCATCACTGAACTCAACTTTCATTTGCTGATATCTTTTGTGTGTGTTTGTTTTAGATTTCATTCTTTTCACTGATTAAAAGACTAGAAGAAATACGGGTAACCGAATGCTGCTGCTATTTGGTGCATGTCAGAAGTGGCACGACAATCTTTTAAACTGTTATTATGACCACACAGTGTTCACCTTCACCCTAATACCACGTGCTTAACGTTCTTGACATCCGTAATAACATTAACATTTCATCCCGTGTATAAGAATGATTTTCGTTTTTTAAACGATTTTCTTAAGTTAATACGCTTCACACACTTAAATGCACTAAAAAGAGCTGGATAACTTATTGGGAAATAGTTTATAAATCGGAGGGAAAGTTTTAACCAGACAAATACCACGAGTGACCTTAATTAAAGCTTTTAAAAATATTTCACAAATGTGGCTCACGCAATCCTTAGTATTGTCAGCCTGTAGCTTCCTACGTCTTTCTCTGGCACTATATTCGTTATTGTTGTTTATGCTGTTATCAGCGGTTGGTCAAGTTTCATTCTGGTTCAGAGACCAACACGCTTTATTTGTCATCTCCAGATGAAATCGATGATGCGATAAAGTCTGTCTACCTTATTTCAGATGTCTGTCTCTCAATGTATCTCGTCTGAAAACCACACTAGTCAGCCTTCTCAGTCATTTTGTCTCAGACGTGAGTCTGCTTTCCTCAGACGGAATATTTATAGAGACTAAGGTTGACATTGATACCAAAGTATTTTGTTTTTGTGTGGGTTTATTATGAGTAAATACTGCAGCAAATACGTCACACTACGTTTAGTGGCCTCTTTGTTTATCTATCACGTTATGGAAGCTTTACTGTTATCATCGATAACGGGAATAATATCCTGTTCTATTCCTAGGACCAAGGACGAGGTGAGAAGCGCAGTGTCGTTTGAAAGATAAAAGGGGTCGGGATTATTGTTTGAAATGCTTTATTAGGGAAGTCGAGTTTCCAGTGGATAGCACGCCAGTTCGCTGGCCATGAGACCGGTGGTCCTGTATTTGAATCCGCTTTCAACATGATCTCTAAAGTTGATCTGGACTCCTGGGTACTGCTTCTCCTCCTCCTCCTCTTCCTCTTCTTCTTCAGCTGCTGCTGCAACTGCTACTACTGCTACTACTACTACTGCTACTACTACTGCTACTACTACTACTACTACTACTACTACTACTACTACTACTACTACTACTACTACTACTACTACTACTACTACTACTACTACTACTACTACTACTACTACTACTATCACCACCACCATCATCTACATTATCATCATCATTCATCATCATCATCCTGTTCTTGGTCTGTCTTGTGCCCTGCGTCTCCTTCTCCTCTTTTGGTGTATATAGCTTGCATGGTATGGCGTCACAATACATTCTGTCTATGTTGGCAGACCATTTGGTTGCTCTCTCTGTTTGTCATTTAGAACTTGTGCCGACTTGTTCTCCCGTAACCTCATTTCTGATGTTGTATCCCCAGGTGACTCCTGTAGCCCTTCTCATGCACATCGTTTCCATGGTTACTAATGTTTTTGTTATGGAGTATTATAAGTGACCAGTGGTCACCATGTCTGTCACTGGATACACCAGAACAGTTTTCTTTTATGTCGTCCGCTGCCAGGAGCAATACAAGGAAAAGAACTGAAGAAACAAACATGGAAAGTGACTGAAAATAGTTACCATATTTATGTAGAGACTGCAGTGTGTTCAGGACAGATGTGGGGTAAGAAGAGAGGGGGAGAGTGTCAAAGTTGGAGGAGGAGTAAGAGATATAGAACAAACGTGAGAGAGAGAGAGAGAGAGAGAGAGAGAGAGAGAGAGAGAGAGAGAGAGAGGGGGGGATAGTTAGATAGAACGAATGAACATTTTTTTTTTCCAATGAGTTGAGAATTGGGCTCGGAGACCCGTCTTCAATTCTGCCCCATAGATAAATAGACAGTTAGACAGACAGACAGATAGATAAATGGATGGATGGATATATATATATATATATATATATATATATATATATATAGATAGATAGATAGATAGATAGATAGATAGATAGATAGATAGATAGATAGATAGATAGATAGATAGATAGATAGATAGATAGATAGATAGATAGATAGATAGATAGATAGATAGATAGATAGATAGATGGAGAGAGAATAGACTGTTTTTAAAGGGTTGAGAATTTGGCACACTGACCACTATGACTATCAGGTTTCAAGTGTATACATTGCTTATGACACATGACATAATCATGACATACATTTTTTAAACAGCTAATAGTATACATCCTCTGCACTATACATCATCTACAACAGCTAAGTCTTAACTGCAGCCGCTGGTATGTTCTTGAATAATACCTTCATTCTTTTGTCCTCTCACCTACACGATCGCTACATTAGAAACCCTAACAACAGATGTTTCATATTCTTTGCTGCACACTCAAGACAGAAACAATGCGGTGGTGTTGTAGTCATTTTTTTTTTACCCCACGTGTGTAAGGCGTTTGTAAGGGTGTGTCCATATTATTATGTCTTGTGTACTGTCTGTCAGTCATCTATGACAGTTGATGAGACTCCAGTCTATGGATTTTGTTGCTGTCCGAGATATTCTGGTGTTGGAGGTAATTAAGTCTGATGGATTAGCTGATGTGGCTCCTCTAGGTGGTGAGCCACTTTTCAGTAAAACTGACATGAGGAAAACAGGGCAGATATCCATACCTTGAGAGACTTTATTGGGGGGGGGGGGGGGGGGAGTAAGCATTTGTATGTGAGATTTTGGACGATATTCAGCACTGAGAGTAAAGCATAGAAGTGCTTTTATTCAGGTTGCAGTTGGCACTATTGGCAAGTAAAAGTAAAGGTCTCTTTTCCACACCTTTAGGCGTATAGGGCATAAAGGACTAGACCTATATTTTTATAGACTAATCAGCACAAGATGGGTGATATGGTCATCATCACGCCGGCCACTTTTACTTCCTGGGACTGAACCTGGAACCAACTTAAGGCTGGGTCGGCCTAGTACTATTGGCAAGGGAACTGTTTATTTGCTACTAACGATGGGGTCGGAAAAGTTATTTCCCCTCAAGGAACCACACTCCTTATTGCTGACTCCTTATTACTGTTCTGCACAACCCAGTAATAGAGGGTGTGTTTTCTCACTGTTAAACAATACTTAATACTACAACTAAATAGGTTCTGGTTACAACAGCGAGATAATTTGCCAATGCCATCTACAAAAATTAAAAGCATCTTCGAAATCTGAAACAATGAAAGGGTGAGAGGAGTGGGCAGAAGCAAGTGGTGCTCGGATATTTTATGATGGCTTGCTACGTATGAATGACAGGCAACTCCTTACAGCTGATCTGAGCTTTAATTTAATCACGACACTTGATGATGATGCTTATAATGGTCATGGCAATCATTCAGTTCTTCGAGCTGTCACCAAGTATCTTTCTCACTAACATTTTATTAATACACTATGGCCTTATTGCCACCGTCTTGAACCTTCCATTTGAGTTCTCTATTGTACAGCCTGTGTCACATCACACTTGAAATAACTTCACATGTATGGTATGTACTTATGACACTTAAAGCCTTTGTTTAATGAATTCACATATACAGTGTAAATTAAAAAACAACAAAATATTGTCTCCTTATGGTCAGAACATTATGTACAGAGTATCTCCAAAATGCACACACTTTGAATAATTTAAATGTGTTTCAAACAAAACAAAACAATGAGGGGGAGGATATAGGAACAAACTTTTACATAGCAGATGTTATCAACAAAAACCATAGCAAGTGGAAGAGTATACTCCTTGTTATTGCGATTTTTGTGGATAAAGACTGTTATGTTTTTGTGTCTTTTCTTTCCTCCTTTCCTAACCTTGTTAAGCTTTTTAGTCACAGTTCATTTGATTAATTTCTTGATACTACCTTGATAAATGTGCATACATTTTGGGGAAATTACATGTGAGTGGCAACTGTTCCATTCCATGATGCTAAATGGCAAAAGTGGACACTGATGATAATGATATATGTTTGTGGGAGGAAAAGGGGAAAGGGGATGGGGTGAGGGCTTGAACAGTTCTGCCTTTTAATATGAAGGAGACAGTACACATATATGGTAGTTGATGTGAACCTCAGTGTTTCTCTCTGTATCATCTTCAAGGCTTGGCACTTTTTCAGTCAGTGTGTATGTATCAACATGTTTTTAACAAGGTTATTGTTAGCCAGCAGTACTGTATTGATTTCAGCCACTTCTGAGAATTGTGGCATCAGGTGGTTGTTACCAGCTATCTCTAATCTTTATAACTTCTTCATGTATGCCTTTTTTTTATTTGACAGAGGTAAACACACGGAAACAGCAGTTGAGGAAATACATATTGTGTGGTGGTTTTGAAGACCAAAGCTCTAGTTCAGTGTGTAGTTTCTAATTATTTCACTTGTGACAATGTCAGTGAATGATGATAATGTGCCAGCTGGCAGTGACAGCTTCTGGGAGATTGGCAAATATATGCGCACAGTGAAGAGGTGCGACAATGGATATCAGCTGTGCAGTCACTTGAAGAAGCTACTTGAAGAAAGGAGTGAAATCGAGAAGAAATATGCTGCCACTTTACAGGAGTGGAGTAAAAAATGGAATGCTTTTCTAGATAAAGGTAAGGTTGTACCTTTAGCCTTGAAATTGTTTACTGTTTGATCATATGCTGTTGGAGTGTATTTTATGACATAAGAATGCAGCCAGACCAAACTGTATATGAGACATTTTACAGCTGAAAATCTGAGAGGAAGGTGATAGGAAGACCAAGAAAGAGATGGATAAATTGTGTAGCAATAACCTGTAAAAAGTTGAACTAATTCATCACCCAAAACACCCGAGAAGTGCAAGACAAATACAGAAAACCACAACACTGGGCTGCAGCCTGGTATCAAAGAGACACCAAAACTACAACACTTGGCTACAACGTGGTATCACTGAGACAGCAAAACACAAGTAAAACTACATTGCATATCTATGCTTGACCGACTACTAGAAACATTTGCTCAGCAAATTAAAAGGCTGGGTCAGTTCTAGAGCCATGTTGTCGGAATAGATTTAGCCTCCGAGTCAATAACCAGATAATCTATATAGAATCCATAGATGTTCTGGCGAGACTGCGATTACAAATATAATTACTAAATGAAATTAAAAGTCTATTGCCTTATCTTGGCAATATTAAAAGACATAACCCTTTTTTTAAAAGCCATAATGGAAGACAAAAGTCGTAGGCAAGTAAGCAAGAGGTAGAAAATGATACAGATGAGAGGACAACATTATTGAGAGATGGATGGACATCAGCCTGAGAGAGTGTACTTCCAAGACAGGAGACAAAGAGTGTTGGAGATCCATCGCAGCCAATGATCATTGTGGAGAGGCACCTGATTTGTTGATTGAGGCAACCGTAGAGGCCGTTGACATGTTATAAGTGAGTCACATAGATCAGCGAGTCCTCCGGTCTCTACTTCTGTTATCTTTGAGCGCCAGTCAGTGCATTGCAGTTTGTTTATCGTAGATTTAGCCTTACTGAATTTTCTGTAGTCAGAAGAGTATTTTTTTATAAATAAGAATTACATCTTATGTCAGGGACAGTACAGGGTATGCTGAATCCTTTTTTTTTACACAGAAAGACAGAGAGACACACATAGAGAGATAGATGCAATGTTTTTTTGTTTAACTATCATTCTGTCTTTCTTACTCACTCTATCTATCACTAATATCTAAATCTCTCTCACAATCTTTCTACCAGACTCTCGCCCTCTCTCTTTTTCTCACTTTCTCCCTCTCTGTCCCTATTACACACTCCCTCACTGCTCTTAATTTCTCTCTGTCTCTCACTCTTTCAAAAACATTGCTGGTTTAAATAGCATGTCTTAGCCATAGGCCACTAATGAAATTATAACTGGTTTGATTTTCTGCAGATATAGAATATGGTACTACAAAAGCTGCATGGCGAGGTGTGCTCACTGAGGCAGAAGAAGTAGCAAATTTGCACATAAGGATAGCAGAGAAACTCATGTCAGAAGTGTATGCAAGCATCAAAGTTTGGCAGAAAGACAACTACCATAAGTCTATGATGCACTTCAAAGAAACAAAAGAGTTTGAAGAAAATTTTCGAAAGGTACCAGATATTTGTAGTATCTTCTTGAGAATGTCCTCTTCTTTTCCCCCCTGCTTTTGTGCCCTTCTGTTTCTCGTGTAACTACTTTAACTTTCTTTCATGTTCTATTTTTCTAGTGTTTTTATCTTTTGTTGTTAAAGAAATTTAGCGAATACAAAGCAAGGAGAAGACCGTGCAGAAGGTGAAAGAGTGGAAATATTTGCATCTATTGCTGCCTCAATATCAATATTTATAACAGTAGCTACCCCAATGAAAATTTAAATTAATGAATCAAGAATTGACATCTCTGTACTCGGGACATACCCGCACATGCTCTGTCATTCCTCGGTAGCTAAAAAAGAGTTGACATCTCTGTACTCGGGACATACCCGCACATGCTTTGTCATTCCTCAGTAGCTAAAGAAGAATTGACATCTCTGTACTCGGGACATACCCGCACATGCTCTGTCATTCCTCAGTAGCTAAAGAAGAATTGACACCACTGTACTCAAGACATACCCGCACATGCTCTGTCGTTCCTCAGTAGCTAAAAAAGAATTGACACCACTGTACTCGACATACCTGCACATGCTCTGTCGTTCCTCAGTAGCTAAAGAAGAATTGACACCACTGTACTCGAGACATACCTGCACATGCTCTGTCGTTCCTCAGTTCTAAAGAAGAATTGACACCACTGTACTCGGGACACACCCGCACATGCTCTGTCGTTCCTCAGTAGCTAAAGAAGAAATGACACCACTATACTCGGGACATACCCGCACATGCTCTGTCGTTCCTCAGTAGCTAAAGAAGAATTGACACCACTGTACTCGAGACATACCTGCACATGCTCTGTCGTTCCTCAGCAGCTATAGAAGAATTGACACCACTGTACTCGGGACATACCCGCACATGCTCTGTCGTTCCTCAGTAGCTAAAGAAGAATTGACACCACTGTACTCGGGACATACCCGCACATGCTCTGTCGTTCCTCAGTAGCTAAAGAAGAATTGACACCACTGTACTCGAGACATACCCGCACATGCTCTGTCGTTCCTCAGTAGCTAAAGAAGAATTGACACCACTGTACTCGAGACATACCTGCACATGCTTTGTCATTCCTCAGTAGCTAAAAGAATAGTCGACATGCTAATAGTACCAGCTGCGACCTGCTTAAAAGTCTGCCTATTTTGTTTCCCCCCTCAGAGTTGAATGTCTTCCAGAACTTTTACTCACATGCATTGAATTACACTGTACGATGTAAATGGGCATACCACAGTTACGTCTTTGGATGGAAGCAGAAGAAGAAGAAGGAAAACAGTTGCATGTTGATTTCAGTTGAGTGTGCTGATAGGGTCTTGTGGGTGTTTACTATTGGTTTGTTCTCTCCACAATTCCCTGTTTTTCCCCTTGTTATGAGATTTGATTCGTCTGAGTTCAGATTCAGACTGTCCTTTGTGCGTGAGTTTTGGAGATCCGTGATAGTCATTGCTGGAGCTACAGTTTCATGCTTTTTGTGATGCTTTCTGTATGAGTAGTTGAACACTCACAGCGCAGAGAGACAGAGCCACTTGAAGTGCAACCTTGTGCAATAAATCAACATCCTGTTCTTCTTATAGTCCATGCTTTATGGCTTTGGTAGTCACTTCTGTCCACATCTTGTGTACTTTCAGTCAATTCTGTTACAGATGATCTTCCCTGCCACAATGTTTGACTATCCAGCATCTTCTCTGTCGGTCTCCCTCTGCCTTTTTCCCTTCTCCTGCTTCTTGTCCCCTACACATTTCTAATCATCATGATCTACTCCAGTTTTCTCCTTCTTGCGACATGACCAAAAAATGTCCATTGTCACCTTATAATGTGGGCAATCAGTTCTCTTGTCGAATTAGTTTCTTTCAACACATATTACATTCATTCCCCATGTGGGTTCCGGGGCCCCATCGTGGGAAAACAAGAATAGACCCTCTGTCTACCCAAAAGCATGTCGTAAGAGTCGACTAATTGGGGAGCTTCCTTTGAAGTCGGAGTGCATCTGCCTGAGAGGCAAGGAACCATCAGTCTGCATTCAAGTGAATCAGATCTGTAAAACTGATGCACATGCAACACTCAGGTTCTGGAGCAGGACTGCAGTTCAGAAGTGGACGAACAACCATAAATTTCCACCAGAGTGTATAGCTGGTGAACGTGAAGAAGAAGAAGATTACTCCAAGGTATTCTCATAATTCTTATAGTCCATGCTTCGTGGCTTTGGCAGTCGCTTCTTTCCACAACCATCTTTTTAGCGTACTTTTAGTCCATGTGGACATGTCCACGCTAGCAAATAATTTTTCAGTAATCACCCAACTTCCATATATCAGGATAGGATTTATTTAGCTCTTGAGAATTCTGTAATTCTCGTCTCATCTGGCAAGGAAAGGTTGCATAGAATATTCTTCATTTGGTAAAATACTGCTTTTGCTTGAGCTATTCTACATAACATTCTTTGATACTCTCACTTTTAAATATTTTTAAATTGTAACTATAACTTTTTGTTTATACTTGTTTGCCTTTCAGGCGCAAAAGCCATGGGCTAAACGACTAACCAAACTCCTGGCAGCCAAGAAAGATTATCATGCAGCATGTAGAGCTGAGAAGAGCACCACCATTCAAGAGAATAATGCTAGAGGAGATACAACTGTGTCTCCAGATCAGGTATTGGAGGGTTTTGTCTGCTAAATTTGTCTCATAAAGATTATTTACTGCTAGTAGGATAAAAGCTTTTATTTTGTCTCATTCACACACGTAGAATTCTTTATATTGTTAGTATAATACAGGTATATAGATGACACAAAGCCAGAAATACCAGATATCCCTCAAAAGTTATCCTCCTTTTGAATGTCAGACATTTAATAAAGTATCCCTTATTTCTGACTTTATTACTATCAGTATAGAAAACTTCCACTTTTTTATTGTTGTAATTCACAAATTTTCAAGAGCTATATAAATCATAAACTTATAAACAGAAGTGAATCATAGACAGTTGAAATATTATGTGGAAGCGGCAATGATGTCGCTTTATTGACAAAGATAAGAACATTGTGGGCTTTATAGACAAAGATAAGAACATTGTGGGCTTTATAGACAAAGATAAGAACATTGTGGGCTTTATAGACAAAGATAAGAACAATGTGGGCTTTATAAACAAAGATAAGAACATTGTGTGCTTTATAGACACAGATAAGAACATTGTGGGCTTTATAAACAAAGATAAGAACATTGTGGGCTTTATAAACAAAGATAAGAACATTGTGGGCTTTATAAACAAAGATAAGAACATTGTGGTCTTTATAAACAAAGATAAGAACATTGTGCGCGTTATAAACAAAGATAAGAACATTGTGGGCTTTATTGACAAAGATAAGAACATTGTGGGCTTTATAGACAAAGATAAGAACATTGTGGGCTTTATTGACAAAGATAAGAACATTGTGGGCTTTATAGACAAAGATAAGAACATTGTGGGCTTTATAGACAAAGATAAGAACATTGTGGGCTTTATAGACAAAGATAAGAACAATGTGGGCTTTATAAACAAAGATAAGAACATTGTGGGCTTTATAGACACAGATAAGAACATTGTGGGCTTTATAAACAAAGATAAGAACATTGTGGGCTTTATAAACAAAGATAAGAACATTGTGCGCGTTATAAACAAAGATAAGAACATTGTGGGCTTTATTGACAAAGATAAGAACATTGTGGGCTTTATAGACAAAGATAAGAACATTGTGGGCTTTATAGACAAAGGTAAGAACATTGTGGGCTTTATAGACAAAGATAAGAACATTGTGGGCTTTATAGACAAAGATAAGAACATTGTGGGCTTTATAGACAAAGATAAGAACATTGTCGGCTTTATATACAAAGATAAGAACATTGTGGGCTTTATAGACAAAGATAAGAACATTGTGGGCTTTATAGACAAAGATAAGAACATTGTGGGCTTTATAGACAAAGATAAGAACATTGTGGGCTTAATAAACAAAGATAAGAACATTGTGGGCTTTATAAACAAAGATAAGAACATTGTGGACAGATTAAACCAAAAGAAAAAAAAATAATGAAGATGTCTTGATAGAAATTTGACTAACCACGAGACCGATTGCCAACATCAGAATGATCAGACTGAAAGTGTCTTAATTCTTTGGTCATATCATGAGAAAGAGAAAACATTGTCATAGTGGGAAAGTTGGAGGTTAAAAGAGGCAGAGGGAAACTCACAGGGAAGATGCTAGACAGTTTGTCATCATGTCATGGAAGACCACCTGTGTCAGAATTGTATTGAAAGTACATGAGACAGAAGGCTCTGGATAGACAGTGCTACCAATGCCACCCTGCATGGACTATAAAAAGAAGAAGAATATGACAAATTTTTTTTAAAGGTTAATCACTAATAGGTCATGCCAAATGATATAGTTGCACCTCAGAATTAGCTTGTAAGTTTGAGTTTTAGGCCAGCTGCTGCTTTGTAAGCTTATCTTCTTCGTTTTCACTGTGAGTTCCGGGGCCCTGTTATAGGGAAAACAAGAATATACCCACTGCCTAATAAAAAAGCATGCTGTAAGAGTCGACTAATTGGGAGCTTCCTTTGAAGTCGGAGTGCATCTGCCTGAGAGGCAAGGAACCAGCAGTCTGCATACAAATGATTCACATCTGTAAAACAGATGAACACAAAACCTCAGGTTCTGGAATAAGACTGCAGTCCAAAAGTGGATGAACAACCAGAACTTTCTGCCAAAGTTTACAGCTGGTGAACATGAAGAAGAAGAAAATGTATTCATATGTTTGTGAATTTTAAGGCTAATGAGATAATCAGTCTGTTTATCTCAGCGTTGTTTTTGTTCTCCAGCTGAAGAAACTTCAAGAAAAACTTCGCAAGTGTCAACAAGAAGTAGAGAGCACAAAAGAGAAGTATACTGCAGCTCTGAATGATATTAACAGTTACAACTCCAAGTACATTGAGGATATGACCGAGGTAGGGTAATATTTTGATGTCTGGTCTTTATGGTTTTAGTGTGTATGTGTTTTAGGGACAAATGACTTGAATTTCCTCAAATTTGTCAGCTTCTCAAGCATGTTATAAACATCTTGAAGGCAAAAAAGCTGTTGGAAAACTGCAAAAGCGATGTATTTATGTAAGTAGGATTTCTTTTTGTAATCTTACCACTGTTGCTGTGTTTCGGGGCTGTAAAGGGAAACTACATTTCTACAAGAATATCTAATGACATAAATATAAATACATTTAAAAGGGTAATCAGTAAACACAAGGTAAAGCACCTAATGGAATGCATTCTCCAGCTTCTACCCCCCCCCCCCCCCAAAAAAATACGTTATTTATCGTGTGACCCTGTGACCTCTTTCCCTGAGGCTAACTGGACAGTATGGAATAAACTTAACTTTAAAAAGCCATTAGGATCAAAGTTTAGTTTACACGGCGACAAATTAAAATCATGGCGCAAGTGTAGTAACCCATAAATGCTCCGTTAGAGCGCCATTTGGGGAAAAGCGGGTGGGGGGTTGGGATAGACCCTTTGCCCTGTAACAGGCATGTCAAAACAGGCCACTAATTAGGCATATTTTTAATTGGATGTGTTGGACCAAAATGTTCAGATATCGCAGGTTAGCTGTAAACCACAAAACAATATGCCAGGGCAAACGCAGAAGGAGAAGACAGAATGTGTTGACACAGCTAGAGTATATTTGGATTTATGCCATGACTGTTGTTTCTCAGCTTTCACTGTATTACTGAATCATGAACAGTAAACAAACCTCCCTGGAAACACTTGAAAGCAGTTCTTCTTCTTTTTATTCTCCCTGCCATTGGTTTTCAGATGAGAAGGCTGCAGGTCTCTGTGTGTGAAGTCTGTGGTGTGAAACCAGTCTTCCACTGATCCCTGCAGCTTGGTTTTCATTGGAATGTCTACCTGGCCAAATCTGGGATCTCTCTACTTCATGTAGAGAGCACATCTGCAGCACCTCTTCGTTATTCTGTGGTGCCTGTCCGCACAGGCACAATTCTGAATCCCCAGACTTGAATTTCTTGTACATGTGGCTGCAGAGTCTGTTATGTCCAATCCGCAGTCATGTTTCATTTATGTGAAGAGTTTGATTGGGTCTTCAAGACACCAGAAGTCAGTGGATTTATAGTCGTGAAGACCCTGAAAAAAAGTGCAAAGAATACATGAATGGATACAAATATGAATGATACAGTCCTTTGAGAAACAGTTGGAAAGCCATACATTGATTAGAGAAATTATGCATAGGCAAGATAGTTTTTTGGTGTGTAATGGGGAAAAAATTTAAACATTGAGTTCATCATCATTAATCAGCAGGTTCTGAAGAATGGCAGAGAGTATAGAGATCCTATAGATGCAGCAGAGAGATCCAGTAGATGCAGTAGAGATATCTAATAGATGCAGCAGAGAGATCGAGTAGATGCAGTAGAGAGATCCAGCAGATGCAGTAGAGAGATCCAGTAGATGCAGTAGAGAGATCCAGTAGATGCAGTAGAGAGATCTAATAGATGCAGTAGAGAGATCCAGTAGATGCAGTAGATGCAGTAGAGAGATCTAATAGATGCAGCAGAGAGATCCAGTAGATGCAGTAGAGATATCTAATAGATGCAGCAGAAAGATCGAGTAGATGCAGTAGAGAGATCTAATAGATGCAGTAGAGAGATCTAATAGATGCAGTAAAGAGATCCAATAGATGCAGTAGAGAGATCTAATAGATGCCGCAGAGAGAACTATTAGATGCAGTAGAGAGGTCCAAATGACATTTTCTTCATAGCATGCCTGAAAGTCTTCTTTAGCCATTTCCTCAGACCTGTGTTATTTCGTAGTAGCCAATGCCTCTTTATTTTCTCGTGTCCGCCTTTGAGGAGGTCTGCCTGTTTTTGGTTTTGTGGAAACTAGGAAACTACCCTTCATCATTGTCCTCTCATCACTGTGTGTTTAACATAGTCAAAACAGTTCAGCTTTCAGGAGAGGAATCATGTTTCTGAGCCAGATGTTTCTATGCACAGATTGTGTAAACTGTTTTCTTCTTCTTTTCTAACTTGATTTACATTTGGCAAAGTTGATGGAAAAGGAGTAAATGGAAGACAGTATAGTGTAATCGGGAAAGAACATGAACTTGATCTGAGAATGTGATAGTCATGCAAAATTATGAACAGTGACTTCCTGTACAAAGTGGCGTGGAACATGATGATAGTGGTGGTATCACTGTAAAATTCATCTTAGAAACCATACCCCTTTATATTCTTGTGTTAGATAATTTAAATTTTCTGTAAGTTTACCTGTACACTAGTTTTTTTGTGTGGTAAGTTTACATGTATGTGCGTGTCATTTTCTATAAGTTTTCTTATACCTGAATTTCATTTTGTGTAAGTTTTCTTGTACCTAGGTTTCATTTTCTGCAAGTTCTCTTGTACTTGAGTTTCATTTTCTGTAAGTTCTCTTGCACCTAAGTTTTATTTTCTGTAAGTTCTCTTGTATCTGAGTTTCATTTCCTGTAAGTTTTCTTGTACCTGAGTTTCATTTCCTGTAAGTTTTCTTGTACCTGAGTTTTATTTTCTGTAAGTTCTCTTGTACATGAGTTTCTTTTTCTGTAAATTTATGTGCACCAAATCTTCTCGAACCAACTTCATTTGACACCACATTTTTAATAAATGCTGTCAGTATCTCTATAGAGAGTAAGTAAGTAAAGTACTCTTTTCAGCGCCTTTAGGCGCTTTGGACATTAAGGGCTAGACCTATATTTTTAAACCAATCAGCACTTGGTTGGTGATGTGGTCCCCATCACACCGGCTGCCTTTACTTTACAGGATGTTATATGGTACCCATTTAAGGCTATGTAAACCTTGAAACCAAGGTCATGTAAAAAAAAAAAAAATCCAGCTTTTTTCGGACTTGAACCCATGACCTTTGGATCTCTATAGAAGGTAATGGCTACCCATTTCAACAATGCTTTTGTTTCCGTTTCAGGTTTACAAGAAATGTCAAGAGTTTGAGCAGAAACGAATAGAGTTCTTCAAAAAGACATTTTTTCAGATACATCAGTGTTTAGATCTGAGCGTGGATGCAAAGTAGGTTATAGTTAGCGGTGATAAAAAAGTGAAACACTTTTTTTTTCCTACACTTACTACCACATTCACATAAAGTACTTCTTCAAGTCGCACAGTGACCATATAACACTAGACTCTTATTTGTGTACACCAATCGGCACTTAGTGGGTTATATGGTCAACACCATGTTCGGCTGTATTTACTTCCCAGTTTATTTTATCTGGTGCTTGACCAAGCTGGAAGTGAAAGGTCAATAAAAAAAAAATCTGCTTCCTTGCGGGCTTGAAACTAAGACTTTCCTCGAGCTAACAGTTGGGCATCTGTCCACTATGCCACTGGGGCTCCCTCTTTTAGTCCATTCTGCTAATAATTTTTAGAAGAAAGGACAATAGCATATCATACAAGGCCTACACCAAAAGAGAAGAAGGGTGTAGAGCACAAGGTAGACCAAGAATAAGATGGAAAGATAACAAAAAGAAACTCTACAACAGCAACGATGTGTCTATTGTTGAGGCGGCCAGAAGAGCAAGAAGTGGAACCTTACATCTATCTGAACACCCTAAGCAGTAAAGCAGTAAAAGGAAGTGAAGAAGAAGGAGGGTCAAAATTATAGCCATTCTTGTTAGAAAGAATGATCCTGCATTTGCTGTTATTTAAAGCCAGATCATTTTCGTCACACATTTGAACTATCCACCGGGCAACCATGGCTCTTGTTACAAATAAACATGTTAAACAATCTGAAAGATATCAAACCAAATAACCTCCTTCAAGTAACATATTTTTATGTGCATAAGACTTCCCTAAGTATGAATAAGACAATCCCTATTTGTTTAGTCCAGAATTAAGAAAAAATTAATATTTTAATAAAATTTTGTGTAAATGATGTGACACCCAATTTTAAACTGAACAGAATTTAGGAAAACATTATCTTATACATGAAAAAATATAGTAAATCTCATCTGTCTGTTTTAAAAAAAAATCATCTCTGTTACATTCTTTAGTTATTTAATAGAAAGAGAAAACTGGAGTACATTGTGACATTAGAAAAGATGGAGGGAAGGCAGAGAGAGAGACAGAGAAAAGATGCTGAACAGTTTGACATCATGGCATGGAGGATCATCTGTGTCAGAGTTGATTGAAAGTACACAAGCCAGAATGTTGTGGATAGACATGACTACAAACTTCACACAGCATGGACATTAAGAAGAAGAAGTAGCTTTGACATACCAGCATAGCTATGAAAACAGAAGTGACTGCAGTTGAACCATTATTAGTAAATTCACTGAACAGTGCCAGTAAGAAGGGAGAAGAACAAGAAAGGCTCAGAAAGAATCAAACTTTGTTTGGATTGAAGCCTTTGTCAGTGAGCACCACAACAAAGACAAGAACCCTAAACACCAACCGCCACACAGGAAAGTCAATTGAATAACCATGCTTGATTATCTTATAATTTAAATTCCAGTACTCCTTACATATTGTTGAAAAGAACACAAATTTTGATTTCATAAGAATTTACCAAGTCTTTTTCGCTCCACTACTTTTTTTGAAGATTTAATCAAATCTACAAAAGTTTAAACAACATGTATCTTTGTTGTTCAAGCATTTCCTAAATCATTCTTTTTATACTTTCACTGAAGGTTCAATCAGTTCTACACAGTTTTTAAGCACCACCTATCATGATGCTTCAAGCATTTCTCAAATCATTTTTGTTTTACTTTTCAGAGATAATTTTACCAAATCTACATGAGTTTAAATAACACATATCTGGATGCTTTAAAGCATTTCCTAAATCCTCTTCTTATTCTGCTTTCGCTGAAGGTTTAATCAAATCTACGCAAGTTTAAACAACACAATTGCTAATGTGGATTACAACAAAGATCTCAAGTGGTGGTCAACCATCCATGGGGTCGACATGGCCATGGGATGGCCAGAGTTTGAGGTTAGTTACTTGGTTTTTCCTTGTTTCTTCTGAAATCTTACTATTTTTGGCTTTGTGTCTTAGTGAAATAAGAATGCACTGAACAACTTGACGATCCTCAAGTACTGGGATTTGATTTCAAAGTTCACTGAATACAAAACTGTTCTCGTGGTTTTAGGGCAGTATTGCAAGTTGGACCAAGAAAAAAATTGGCGCTTTACCACATATTATTCCAAAAAATAACAGGATTGGTTCAGAAAATAACAGGATTGGTCACTGCATAACCTTTCATTGGGAAGACGACACTGAGTTATTTAAAAAAAAAAATATATGCTTTTATTGAATATGTGTATGGTTTTTTTTGGTTTTGCTACTCTTACATGTCTTTGTCTATATATATATATATATATATATATATATATATATATATATATATATATATATATATATATGTATATGTATATGTATATGTATATGTATATATATATATATATATATATATATATATATATATATATATATATATATATATATATATATATATATATATATATATATATATATATACTGATATATAAATCAACTGATAATGAGAGTTAACTAGACACATCATAAAAAGACTGTCCACGTTCTTTGGACGTTTGTTGAGAACGGATAATTGGAAAAAATATGACAACAGGAAAGCTGGAGACAAAAATTATTTTTAAAAAAAACTTGTTAAGGTTTGTCACTTGAGAGACTTGTTTCTGACTGGTGGTTTGACACTTGAAAGAGTGGTTTTTCATGGTGGTTTGTCACTTGAAAGAGTGGTTTGTCACATGAAAGTGGTTTGCTGTTCAAAAGAAGGGTTTTTCACTTGAAACAGTTGTTTACCACTTGCACCTAATTGTCACCTAATCATTGTGGTTTGTCATGGGAATGTCTTTTTTGTGTGCTTCTGAACTGTTTATCATTTGAAAGAGTGGTTGTATCACTTGTAAGAAAGGTGTGTAACATGAAATAATAGTTTGTCACGCGAAAGAAAGGTTTATCACTTAAATGAGTGGTTTATCACACACAGGGGTGTTTTATAACTTGAAGTATGGTTTACCGCTGAAAAAAAAATATTTTGTCACTTGGAAGTGCTTTACTATTTGAAAGAGTAGTTTGTAACTTGTGAGATATGTTTGCCACAAGATCTTTCAAGTTTGTCTCGTCAAAGACTTGTTTTTCTCTTGAAATAGAAGTTTCTTGATAGAATAGTTTCCTAATCAACCATCCTTGTAAATTTAAATACAGGAATACTCACCAGAACTGCAGGCAATCTCAAAACGGAGCAAATCCAATCTCAACGCGGCTGATGGGGGAGTTGTAATTACAGGTATCAAACATTCCAGGGATGACAGTTTTAGTAGCGGCACTAATGAACCTAGCACAGCACTGAATCGGCAGTCACAGGCCAGCAATATGCAGACGTCAACTATCTCATACGGAGCAGCATCCACTGGTGGACCTGACAGGTATATTTTATACATAGTTTTTTAGATTGTCGGTGCTTTCCTACCCCAAACGGGAAATCCACAGGTCATAGGACAGTCTATTTCAGAGGGTGGTAGATAGGCTGCATTCAGTTGTGGAACCTAGGCTGCATGCAGTCGTGGGACCTAGGCTGCACTCTCTCATGGGACGTAGGTGTGTTGGGGTTGGGGCCACTTCTAGATGTTTTGGGGTTGTTAAAAGCATCAGAAAGCTGGAAAACCGTTGTCTCACCACCCTCTAAATTGTAGGACTGTCCTGTGACGTCATCTGGGGTAGAATATTAATAAAGCACAAATTTTTCTTTTCTATTCTATGTATATTTTCAATTATATGAGGGACACTCAGAATGTAACACTCAGAATGTATTTGTTCTCTACGAATGATGAAGATGGGAACATGATTTTTTTGCATATACTTCAAATTTGAATTGCCTGTATTGTACTTATGAGACTTCTTTACATTGGCACTAATCTGTTAAAATTATGTGTGAGAATACAGTGCACTTCAGACTGAATTGCTACAAAATTTCTGGTTGCAGACAAAGGAAACTGGTGAACATTCATAAATGTGTGGGCTGTTTAAGGAAGTTGTGATCACTGGGTTCAGAGAGTTACAGTTTCAGAAAATGGAGAGGTGGACCTGCTTGATTGCAGCATACATGAGACATTCTCCAGAGTTGCCCACCCCCCCCCCCCTCCCCCCAACAGACCACACACACACAAATGCATGCACATACTACCCACAAGCCTGCGCACACATGCACGCACACTACAAACACACCTGTGTGCACACACACTTCAAGACAGCTTTGTTAACAAGAAAGGTCATGATCACTGTTTTCTGTCACTGAGACAGTAATGCTACCATTTTTGTGTGTTCATGTGAGGCACATTGAGACAATCAGTTCTAAAGACTTCATCAAGACTGCAAGACTGTAACAAAACTCAGTATTCACGTTTTTGCTGTTAACAAAAAAATGAAACAGAACTGAATCCCTAACATGACAGTCCATGACCTCATACGAGTAAGAAAATATGAGCACCAGCAAGTGAATTGAGTTGTGCTCAATCATTTACCCTGCTGGCCTGATCTGGCTCCCTCTGATCTTCATCTGTTTGGTCTACTTAAAAATGTACTGCATGGGACAGTGAAATTCAGGATTAGTTAGTTAGTTAGTTAGTCTTTCCTCTTGTGTCGAGTGCGGCACATAGGGCAGAGGTCGTGACTCTCCATGCACGGCGGTCCGTTGCAATCCGTTGTAGGTCTTGGATGTTTGAGTGGCCCATGAGCGAGCCTTCCCTGATGATAGTTCTACGTAGGGTTTCCCTTGGTCTTCCACGAGATCTTTTCCCCTGTGGTGTCCAAATGAGGGCTTGGTAAGGAAGTCTTGATTTATCCATTCTAAGGACGTGGCCGACATAGTTCCAGCGGCGTTTTCGTATAAAATTAGACACATACTCTTGCCTGGATGGCTGCATGAGTAGGACAAAGCTTGTTTGGTACATGCCATTGTTTTGTGTTGGTTAAAGATTATAGAAATGAATGTATAATATATATTTAAAATAAGGATATATAAAGGATGTAAAAGTAAAGATCACTTTTCACGCCTTTAGGCGCATAAGGCATATAGGAAGATACCCCATATCTAACAGACCAATCGGCACTAGGTGGTTAATGTGGTCAGCATTTGGCCGGCCATCTTTACTTCCCCAGGAGATACATCCTGTTACCCATTTAGACTTGGTCGACCTGCGACACCCCATACCACGATAAAAATCCACGCTGCCAGCAGTGTGTTTCGATCGCGGTACGTTGATGTAAAGGATGTGATGACTTATACTGTAAGTTAATTTAGCACATTTTGCAAAAACAAGCTGTGAAGAAGACAATTATGAAGCATTACATTCAAAATGTCCCTCATATTTCATCATAGAGCTGTTTTCATTTTTCTATAAAATGCCAGCAAATGGTTGTTTTCATTTTCTGTTGTGTTCCTATTGTATAACATGTAGCAGTTTGTTTGCAGAATTGTATAACCATTTTTGTCCGCTTGGAAGCTGTTCAGTTTGTTTCCAGTTTACCAGAGAGAGAGACTGAGAGGAAGGGGGTCGGGGAGGGAGGGAATAGAACGAGAAATGGGGAGGGTCTGCAGTAGAGGATGCAAAGTAACTTTAAAAGTAACCAGTTTTAGTGTAACAAACTATTCTGGAATGCTCTCATAAGTTCATAATGAAATATTCAGAGATATTATAATTTAGACACAAGTATGATTTTTTTTTTTTACATGATGTTGTATTCCATTATGTTTTCATTATTAAGAATTTTGCTTTATTAGGTTGTTTTAAAAGCAAGTGTTTGTCTGTTTTATATATTTATCTTACATTTCTATAAGCTTATATAATTTTTTGCACTTTCCTTGCTGTTTCTGTTATACTGAATTACTTTCTTTCAGCCTTTCACTACTGCATAGGTTGCTATTTGTTTGATGTTCAAAGATTCTGGTTTTCAGTTTTGAATGTTCCTCTAAACTGTTTTTTGGTTATAAATGTTTCTTTTTAATTTGTTTTAAGAAATAAATTATTTTTTTTTTTTTTTTAGTTCCTAGTGTCATAAAAATTAATAGTGATTAGAAGCTTTACTGCAATTTGAGGTGACAAAATTAAGATGGAAGACTGATTGCCAGACGTGCCTTACAGAGGCACTGAAATAAAATGAAAGCCAGGAATTAAGCCAGTCTGACAGGTCATCAAAGTACAAATGAAGTGGTTTGGACACCTAACGAGAATGCCCTGGTATTATCTGAAATGTTACAACGTGTATACAGCGAGCGGAAGACCTCAGAAAATATGGAGTGATGACATTAATAACAGCCTTACAGAAATGAACTTCAGTATTAATACTGCTCTTGACAGAGCTCATCAACAAATGCTACGTTTCCCTACATCTACTTCGCTGAGGTACAAGGTATAAGAGAAGAAGAAGAAAAAGGAAATCTAGACTTGTAGTCCCATTAAAATAGCAACATTGGCATGTTGTTGGCAACTTTCTGTAATTCCAGATAATAGTATTATATTTTGCTATAGAAAATCATGAGAATCACAACCCATGGCTAGGTTGAGTGACTTGCATTAGGAAAAGATTTTCACTGTTAGAACGTCCCGGACCTGTTAGCTGCTCCCTGCTGATCTCCAGAGTGTGCAGCCCATGACAGGTGGGAAGCCCAACATTTACAGATGTGAGATTAAGCAGACTGATGCTGCCTGAAAGGCTAGAAACCAACAATCTGCTACAGATAATCCATATCTGTTAAACATAAAACTCCACACAAAGTTCTGGAATAAGACCAAAGTCCCAAAGTGGATGAACAGCCAGAATTTTCTGCTGGAGTTAACAGATGATGAAGGCCAAAACGAAGAAGAAGAATTACATTTTTGTTTTAAATAACTGACTCAGAGTCCTGATGTCGACCTCACCTAAAGTAGGCACCATGATGTGTCCTGAAAAGTAAAGGTGGCCAGCTTGAAATTGACCACATGACTAATCGGATGTTGATTTGGTCTGTAGGAATGTAGGTCGAACAACATAAGCCTGACGTGCCAGTGGTGGGAACATGCTTCCCTTCATTACTTTACTTACTGATAATTTAACCCAGATCACTGTATAAGTAATAAAATGAACTAGTATCTTTGTCATCGCATAGGTCCTGATTTTCATGTAGAGTAAAGGACTCTTTTCCACGTCTTCAGGCGTATTGGACCTATTGTGCTAGATCTGTATTTTATAGACCAGTAGGCACTCGGTGGTCAATTTGGTCAACATCATGTTGGCTGCCTTTACTTCCCAGGGCTTTACCTGGTACTCACTCGAGGCTTGGTCAACTTGAGAACCAAGGTCATTTAAAAAAAAAAAGTCTGGCTTCGTTCGGATTCAAATTCATGACCTTTGAATCTGCCGCCACACAGCAGCTTCCTGATGTTAATGTAGTCTACCAGATAGTCTCAAATTGTTTTCCCCTTCAAATTAAAAGAAATTCTTGTGACCTATTTTGGTAAGCAGCTCTCTAAAGTCTGGTGAGTCACTAAACCCTTTTGGTGATGACTATGATGATGAAGATGGCGACAGTGAGTCCTTGGATCAAGTCTTGGATGTAAAGGATAGCAATACAGACAATGAAAAACAGGATTCACGCAATGGTTTCGGGGCAGCTACAGCTCAGAGGAGTGAGGAAAAAGAAAGAAAGTAATTCTCATGGCATCTTGTCTTGGATTGCAGTACTGCGCATGCAGCTCTCACACATATTCTGTTTTAATTTGCATGCTTTATATTTAGTGCGAAGTAGAGACCAAAAACATGCAAAAAACATTCAAAGCCTGCAGCCTGATTGAGCATTTGGTGTGACATTCTGATTTGTATGTCTTACTGCATACTTTCGTTTTTTTTATTTAAACCTACTGTTTTGTACCACATCACCCAAAAAGTGATGATTGGGCAATATATAGGTTTAACATCATATGCTCCGTACACAAATGTACTTTATTTTCTTTACTGTCTTATTAATGCACACTGGAACCACAATTTGTGTGATGACATTGGGTTATATTTTGCTTGCTTGACTAAACAATGCATGTTTTCTAGACATGATTACCGTATTTACGTGTGTATAGACCACAGTATTTTAATTGAAAATGGTTTATGAAAACTAAGGTGTGGCTTATATTTGAGATATTAGGCTTTGTGTCCGTCAGCAGTGATACCTAGCATAACAATGTACCGCTGTTGTTCCACTCCTGAAGTCCCCACGTGTTCTGTTTTTTCATCAGCTTTATTCACTGTTGTTTCTCCTGACATATCTAAGAATACCAGGGTTTCATCTGCATTTCCAGTTGCCCCAATGCTTTTGGTTGTGCGTCTCTGATAACTTCAGAACATGTATTTGAAAAACAGAACCTCCTGGTAGGTGCCAGGAAGTTGCTGTGAAATTGTTGTCTGCCACCGAATCATAGGCTCATTTCGTGCCATAAAGCACCTTCCCCAGCTATAGCTCACTTTAAGTTCACTCCAAAGAATTCCCCCATGTCCTATAATTGACTTGCTTCAAACTCTTACATTTTCATAGACACAGACAATCAATCTGCCTGTATTTTTTTGACATTTTCCAGCAAACCTGTTTCTACTGCCGGGTATTTCACTTTCTTGCCACAAAAAGATTGTTCACTATATAATGTTTCTTGAGCATTTTTAATTCCAGTCCATCTTTGCTCATTTTTCTCATCCACAATAAACTTTCTCCCAGCTGCTTGCTTTCCATTTTCTTGCAACTTAAATTCACAACTGTAACTTGCTCTTACTGGGCCTATCTTTCACTGCTAAAGGGTACTACTGTTTCAGTTTTGGTCTATCACTGAAATGTTAAGAATATTATTTTTTCCTAAAACTATCATCTCAGAAACGGCATGCAGCTTCTTATACACACATAAATACTATATAAATAATTGTTGAAGCAAAAAGACAATTTAATCACCATGACTACCTCAGGTGTGATTTGTCTGCCCCTTTTGTTGATTGTATGTTTATGCCTGCTTGTCCTTGTGCTGATTTATTTTCAGCCTTGGTTTGTTATGAACTAAAAATTTTATTCCTGCGGGTTAAATCATTTCAATGCTGTAGTTTACCTTCTTATCATGCTTGTAAGAATGAGAGCACATACGAGATCAGTAAAACCATACACTTTATTAGGCTTGGAATTGCAAAAAAGGAAATAGACACTTGTAGCATGCTTGCTGTTTGATCTTAATTTATTGTTAAGACACTGTTCATCATAATTTACTGGTTAAACATTGAGTTTTAATGAACTCTTTTGGTACTTGAGAACACATCACAAGTAGATTTGTAGCTGATTTGCCTGTCCTGTGGTGACGAAACAGTTAACCCCTTATCCATTTAAAAATTTAATTGTGTCAGAATTTCATTAAAAAGAAACACATCTCTGATTCTCTGAAACTCCGCCCTTAGAAAATTAGACAAGTAAAAGAAAAGGCAGAAGAAATGTGCAGTCTTGGTCACTGTCTGTAAAAATCCAGAGGGTTTAAACCTATGACCGCTGAGGACATATGATAGGCAAGCCTGCTAGCTATATCATCACCGCAGCCACCAAGTCATTAAAAATAGGGATTTGTCATTTTTCACGCCACGATGCTTTAATATTTTTCCAAAGGGAAGTAGCAACTGAATACAGAGCAAAGAAATAACTGCTTTTCTTCCCTTTGACCAATAAAACAGCAATTTTCTTGCCACAAGCACAGAGGGCAGAGGGATGTCATCGTTAATTTATTATGACTGTTGTCATTGAAATGGCAGTAAAAAATTATCAAACCCCCGTTCTGTTCCCAAATAATATCTCAGCAGTTTTTATGGGGAATGTTGAGTTGAGTTGAGTCAAGACATCACAGCACTCAGGGCATTCCCATGCATGGTCCGTCTTCATCTTCAGCAGCCAGCACTGAGTTCCAATACTGATGGTAGCGGTCGCAATCTGGTTATATGTCCGTCTTGCCTTTCCTCTGAGTGTAGTGAGCCAGCCAGACAAACCGTTTACACCCAGATGCTCATTCTCTCCAAGCCATAATAATCTTCTATCTCTACTGATTCTGTTGCTTGTTTCCAAAGGGCCTTGACCACATTTGCCTTGTTATGTCAGGAGTGAAATAACCCATTATGTCAACACACTTGCAGTTGCACCCAGTTCCTGATATATTATATAGGTGACTACCCAAAATCTCATACATTAATTGCTGATTGATCTGTAACAAGTATGGAGGCTGAGACATTGTACACTGTGTTTCTAGGGAGTGAAAAGGGGTCCCTAAATTAACATATTTTTACTTAATAAAATGAAATCCCATTGCTAGCTATTACCATAAGCTGTTTAGATCTACAGGGGAACAAATAATAAATATCTACAGGAAACTAATAATTTAATTTTGTAGAAAATCAGTAACTTAGATCTGCTTGAAATAAATAATTTAGACTTGCAGGGAGTAAGTAATGTAGGTATGCAGGGAATAAGTAATTTAGTTATGTCAGGAACAGGTAATTTAGATCAGCAGGGAATATGTAATTCAGATCTGCAGGAAATACATAATTTAAATTTGCAGTTAGTACATAATTTATATTTTAAGGGAAAAAGTCATTTAGATTTGCAGAAGTCATTCTGCAGGAAATGAGTGGACAGCATTTCATGATCTATTTGGTGTATAGTGAATTCATTAGCACCTTTATTTTTGGCAGAACAAAAAAAAAATTATTCAGCTGCACTAGTTTGCCCATAAAGACATCAGGATTGAGGTTTGCTGAAATTGGGTGTGGTCCTGAGAGGTGCAGATATCACAGCCTGGCTGTAAACCACAACAGTGCACCAACCTCCCTTTAAAAGGTGAATGAAGAAAAAGAATTCATTAGCCTTGTTATGAGGAACATTATTACCTGTAGATGTCACTATATTTGCTTCTCCTTTGGGTTCTGGGCCCCATTGTGACTGAAAAAAAAAGGAATAGACCCTATCAGGCATTTCGTAAATCAATTAATTAGGGGTGTTTCCTTCAAACTTAGAGTGCATCTGTCTGAGAGGTGAGTAACCAACTGTCTGCTTACAAATAAGCCAGATCTGTAAAACTGATGTGCACACAAATGTTTTGGAAACAAGACTGGAGTCCCGAAGTTGGCAGACGCCCAGAACTTTCTGCCAGAGCATACAGCCAGTGAACGCAAAAAAGAAACAAGATTTTAATGGCACTAATTACTGGCATGCATTTGTTGGTTTTCAGAAACAGATCTGAGTCTCCTGTAAACACAGGAGAGAATCCATTTGGTGAAGCAGACGAGGATGAACATGACGAAGATGCAGAAGAAGATGCCCCAAGTCAGGGCTGGAGTGTGAGGGCTCTCTATGACTATGTTAAAGCAGAGGACGATGAACTGGAGTTTAAAGCTGGTGAGTTTGTTTGTTTGTAGAAGCTTTATTATTATGGTATGCCTCACTGATTTGCATGGGGATCTTAATGTCTACTACATCTTGTGATCTTCAACTGTCTGTGAATTTATGTGTCATTACAAAAGGAGGTTGTTGAAGAATCCAATTTTGTCTTCCTCTGTCTCTCAGTCCTATAAGTTTCTTATTTGTCGCAGTTTGTTCAAGGTTTTCATTTCCCATAGTGTGGCCAAACAAAGAGGAGTAAGATCAAGTTTCCTGACCTTTGCTAGTTGCGTAGCTTGTGGTAATGTTATTGTGCACTTTTGTAGTGCCTCTTTTACAGTCTCTACCCATCACTTTCTTGGTTGGTCTCTTGCCTTGTAGTCTACTGTTCTCATGTAGTGTGCTCTAGCTGCTGGCTGATTTTGTTTCATTTTGAACAGATGACTAAATCATTTGATTCTTTGATAGTCTTTTTGATTATTTACCAGTGCTGTGCTTACTATTGTTCTTGGTTCTTTTTTTTTTACTTTTGTCTCTCTTAGTTTTTCTAACTGCATTTAAAAAAAAAAATACATCTCATCTTGCATAATGTAATATTACATTTATGTTTTTCTAGAACTGTCCCTTTCTGGCATGGATAGTACACAATTGGTACAAATAGTGCATTTATCTGCTGATTTTAATTGTGCATGTTGATATTTGTATGCCTCAAAATTGGATAACAAATATATGTGGTAAATCTACTAATGAAAGAGTTATGGGTAAATAGCTGAATGGAGCTGTGACCAAAAGTATTAGATCATTAAATATAGCATAGTAATTCCTGAGTATTTAATTTGTCAGTAGTTTATTGATTCTGCCTTAGTTTTAGTAGTATACTGTAAACTGTTTGAAGTGGTAAGCAACTCAGTACAAACTTCACAGAATCTTCTTCAGCTAGTTCTTCAGAGAGAATCTTCTTTGTTAGACTAACATCACCATGGAGTGTGACAGATGTGGTCAAGGCCCTTTGGAAACAAGCAATGGAATCAATAGAGAAACAAGATTATTATGGCCTGGAGAGAATGAGTCACCTGGGTGTAACCATATTGTCTAGCCGGCTCACTACACTCAGAGAAAAGAACCAGATTGTGACCAGTACCATCATGGTATTTAGTTACTCTGATGCCTGATAACTCTGGTAATTAGTAACTCTGATGCCTGATAACTCTGGTAATTAGTAACTCTGATCCCTGATAACTCTGGTAATTAGTAACTCTAATGCCTGATAACTCTGGAAATTAGTAACTCTGATGTCCAGCAACTCTTATACTTATTAAAATGCCTAGTGCATAACTACATTGTTTTCCAGCAAATCTCAATAACTCTAGATGCCTGAGACTTTACTGCTTGGTAATTCTAATGCCTGGTAACTTTGGTACTTAGTAATTCCAGTACTTAGTTACTGTAATACCTGCTATCTCTGGAACTTGATAATTCTAATATGTAATACCTCTGGTACTTAACCCTTTGGAGACAATGCAACCAAAATATCGGCCCGACACACAGTAGCCAAAAGGATGACTGGGGTAATCGGTCGGCCCTTTGTAATACAAACCTTGAGATTGGCTGGCAGGTTTTCATACCAGCCAATTAGATTGCTTCTTGCATTTCTTGCACATGTAGGCTTTTCACTGACGGTTTTCCAAAAATTTTGATGTGTTCGGTAATTTTACATCAATTTTTTTCTGAGGTTTCCAGTGCCCAACGATGGTAAAAAAAGACTGTTGCGTGTGGCAACTAAAACATACATGGAGGTGGGAAAATGAGTAAAACCATGTGCCAGAAGTGTCTGAAGGGCTTCCAAGGGCCTACTTCCAAAAACACAAGTATTAGGACTTATTCAAGCTTCATCTATCAAACAGTTCACCTGCATTTTTTGGGGAGTTAGTTATGTTTGTTCCCTAGTTTAAAAAAAAATTGCTTGCATAAATTATGCAAATCAGAATAGTTAATTTGAATAAATGTTGAGATTTCAGTTTGATTCATAAATATTCTGTTAGCTCTTTTAATTTCCTACATGAATATATGTAGTTTTGTATATGTTAATTAAACGCTTTATTTTGTGTAACTTTTTGTGTATAAACTATGAGAATCCCCTCCTGAAGGCTTCATCTTTTTGTTACTGAAACTCCAATAAGGCTTCGTCTCCAAAGGGTTAATAACTGTGGTGCCTCTTAACTGGTACTTAGTACCTTTGGTGTCCAGTAACTCGGGTACCCTGGTTAATCTGAAACCCAGTAACTTTTGAACTTTGTAACACTGGGAAGTTCTTGGCTGCTAATAATTTTTGGCTTAGATTTTATACACACAATGATGAAGAGATGGAATATTTGAGGCCATGTATACCAACATAAACTTAGGCTCATAGCAAATGCCTCTTCACACTTGACCCTGCCGGGCATAATAAGGATAAGAGAGAAGACGACAGTGAAGAAGAAGAAAAAAATGTCCATTTTTATTAAACTTTCTTGATGGACAGATAACACAGTCTGTGGTCTAAAATTTATTAATGACCAAAATGTGGAGACTGGATACATTTTACTTGTTTCATATTCTATTATGATTACACATTTCTTTCCAGGTGATATTTTCATTCAGATTGCTGAAGAAGATGAAATGGGATGGTGCAAGGGCAGAAAGGAAGGCAGAATTGGATTCTACCCCAAGAACTATGTGGAGAGAATATGAAAAAAAGGATGTTTTACTGAAAACTAAAGCACAGTCATTAACCTCCGCTTCTTTGCTAGCTTGTTCACTCAGCCAGTGTCATCAACCAGCTTTGTTCACGGATCCAGTTCAACAGCCATTTTTTAAAGACAAGGGTTATTTGTTAGATCTGTTACTGTTTCTTTCTCAAGCAACACACCAGAGAATATGTTATGTTTTTTTTTTTTTTTTACTAAATCCCCCCAAAAACACAATCACTAACTTCTGCTTGTTTGCTAGCTTCTTCACTCAAACAGTGTCATCAGTCAGTGTGTTTTAAGAACCAGTGTCAACAGCCACTTGTTAGAGAAGTGTTACTCATTGAATATTTAACTGTTTCTTTACCAATTGTTTCTCATGAGAAGAGCTGTAATTATGTCTGTACCTGATGACACACCATTTGAGACTGATTATTACTCATGTACAGCAGTCAACTTTTAATAGTTAGTTGGGTGACAGATTAACCTCACTGCAGGTCGAACCACTCAGTCCTTCAGTGCTCGGATCCCCTCCTCAGTAAATCCCGCAGCGTGTGGCAGGTAAGGATACCAGTTCTCTGTTGGTTTATTCTTCCTCTTTGGCTACCCGCATCATGTTCTTATTTAGCGACACCCTTTTAACTTGTAGTTCTTGCAGTCTGACCATGGTTGCAGCAGATTCACAGTTCTTAATTGGTTCACGCAAACCTCTTGAATCTCGCAGTGCATTCAGCTTTTCAAACACAGTAGAGCAGTCAACTTTTTATGTACGTTTGTACATCATACGTTAAATCAAGACATGCAAAAACCTTCTGACAGTGTGTTTGTTTCTAGCACTGAGTGTAGTCCCTGTAAAAGTTGTGTACCTATAATTTTGTTGTCTATTCATAATTCAGAAATCATTTATAACCTAATGGGGCTCAAAGAGTTACTTTTCTTTAACAGTGTAACTAAATGGTAGTTGCTGTACCTTAAACTTTGTTGAGTTCTCTAATGAGTAATGTTGATGTTTTGTCACTGCCCCTCTTGAATATCATCCTTTAGGGCTCAAAGAGTTCATTTTCTTCAGCTGTGTTACTGAAACAGATAGTTTGGCTATACATCAAATTCTATTGGATTCCAAATGCTTTCTTAACCCTAGCAGACCTAAGGCTCTGAACCTAACTGTCCCTATAACCTGAGCTCCTGGGCATTACCGCGAAAAAACCAACTTGATATACAAAAATATTAGTTACATGCAAACGAGTGGCTAGAATATGATGAAACTTGGAGACCTTGTAGAAATATTCCACCTTTGTGTGCGAATTCACTCATCAGGATCAACTTTGTTTCACAAAGTGAACACCAGATGTTGCCGTTTGATGGACACACCCCCTCCTCCTACTATCGATCTGTTTCAAGATTGATAATTTTCAAGATTTTCCTCATCATTTGCACTCTCTCTGACAGTGTTATTTCAAGAACGTATTCTTTATGAAATTATCACAGATAATGAATATATATATATATATATATATATATATATATATATATATATATATATATATATATATATATATATATATATATCACAGAGTCGAAATAAACCAAAGTATCGATCACCTGTTGGACTGTAAAAAGCCTAGAACTTGGTTCATCAGCCGCTCGCTTCATTCTGAATTTTCCTAATTTTTTCACATTAAAACACAAAATGGATTCACGCACACGGGGAAGCCATTTGCAATCTCTAACAAAGCAGACTGACAACGATTGGTTGGTTATTTTTAGTCAGTGACGCATCTTTCTCACACACTCTGCAAATAGCCTAAATTTAGGGCTAGCAGTTTATAAAAGAGATGAAATTCCCGGAAAAAAGGGAGAGCGGGCTGGTAGGGTTAAAGCAACACAGATATGTTTGAGGGATACAGTAGGTTTTAACCTCAGGTACTTTGTGAAGTTACTTATTGTTGAAGAATGTATTTCAGGGAAATAAAAACACAGGTTCTGAAGAGACTGGGAATGAGTTGCTGGAGGAAATTTAAAAAAAAGAGACAAGGAAAATATTTTGACCACATTAACAAGACAAAACACTATTATAAAAAAAAAATACTGAAAGGAAAAGTTAAAGGAAGGTGAGCGAAGATAACATCAAGAGATGGAGGAAAAGCAATCTCAGGGAGAGTACATCTAAGGTGAAAGACAGAGGAGTGTGTTGAAGTTCCATTGCAGCCAATCTTCACTGTTAAGATTGCACCTAGTTAACTGGCATCTGGGCCAGCTAAGCATCCATATTAGGGAAGGGAGCAGATGTATTCTGAGGTCATTATTTTGCACACAGAACATTTTACAGTTTAATAATCTTGAATGATGAAGCCTTATTACAGATTTTCTAAAACGGAGTCTTACGATGAATCTTTGGACCCAACAAAGATGCAAACAGTGGGGAATGGAGAGTGAGAAGGTAGACCACAAGGCAGACCAAGAAGACAATGGAGAGATAATATCCAGACAGACCTGCAAACACTTGGTGACACTAACTGGAAAGAGAAGGCCAACCAGAGAGATGAATGAAGGCGGTGATATCTGCAGCGGTGAACCTCAAAGGCTCGGAATGCTGAAGAAGAAAAAGAAGAATCTTGCTGGCATTCCTTATGGATTTGAATCACAGTAGCCAATGAACAAGCTGAGTTGAAATATACATGTTACTTGTGACAGACAATATTTGCTGTTACTTGTGACAGACAATATTTGCTGTTACTTGTAACAGACAATATTCTCGGTTACTTGTAACAGACAATATTCGCTGTTACTTGTGACAGACAATATTTGCTGTTACTTGTGACAGACAATATTTGCTGTTACTTGTGACAGACAATATTTGCTGTTACTTGTGACAGACAATATTTGCTGTTACTTGTGACAGACAATATTTGCTGATACTTGTGACAGACAATATTTGCTGTTACTTGTGACAGACAATAATTGCTGATACTTGTGACAGACAATATTTGCTGTTACTTGTGACAGACAATATTTGCTGTTACTTGTGACAGACAATATTTGCTGTTACTTGTGACAGACAATATTAGCTGTTACTTGTGACAGACAATATTTGCTGTTACTTGTGACAGACAATATTTGCTGTTACTTGTGACAGACAATATTTGCTGTTACTTGTGACAGACAATATTTGCTGTTACTTGTGACAGACAATATTTGCTGTTACTTGTGACAGACAATATTTGCTGTTACTTGTGACAGACAATATTAGCTGTTACTTGTGACAGACAATATTTGCTGTTACTTGTGACAGACAATATTTGCTGTTACTTGTGACAGACAATATTTGCTGTTACTTGTGACAGACAATATTTGCTGATACTTGTGACAGACAATATTTGCTGTTACTTGTGACAGACAATATTTGCTGATACTTGTGACAGACAATATTTGCTGATACTTGTGACAGACAATAATTGCTGATACTTGTGACAGACAATATTTGCTGATACTTGTGACAGACAATATTAGCTGTTACTTGTGACAGACAATATTAGCTGTTACTTGTGACAGACAATATTAGCTGTTAGGAGTTTATGTGGTTTTTGAACAGGCATCATAGGTGTTCTGTGAAAACTTTAATGTAGCACAGTAAATACTTGTATTTATAGATTGAGAGAAATGCAACACAGAGAATACACTTGATAAATTCAGGAATGCAGCACTTAGAATATGTGTTTATAGATTCAAGAATGCAGTACACAACATGTAAATGTTGTAAATTAAGAAATACAATACATAGAATACTTGTGTTTATTTAATAATGCAATCTAGATACATTTGAATAGATTCAGAAGTGTGGCATAAGAATATGTATGTTATAGATTTAGGAATACTACATAAGAATGTTCATGTTAATAGATTCAGAAATGCAACAGAATTATGCAGAGATAATTTAAAGAACATGTTTTTTGTGCTTTTCTTTCTTTCTTTCTTTCTTTCTTTCTTTCTTTCTTTCTTTCTTTCTCTTTCTTTCTTTCTTTTCTTTCTTTCTTTTTTTTTCTTTCTTTCTTTCTTTCTTTTTTTTTTAATTTAAATAACTGTTGGTGTATGATGGTATAATTGTTTTAATTCTGTTTTATTGAGTGGCCGACTGATATTTGTTTCTCTCTCATATTTTCTTTCTGATATCTTTTTATTTGTGCTTGTTTGGTACTTAAACAGTATATCATGTATATATCCATACAGTAGTGTATTATTTATCATTTTTTTTTTTTTTAATTTAAATTAGGTGTTATTTAACAGTTAGAATGTTGGGGCTGTTATTTGAGAGATATGGGTTTTAGTCCTCTTTAAGGTGGTGGTATTTTTGTGTGTCTGTCATAGGCTAAACTATATTTGAAATCTGCAGTTTGTTGATACCTATACTAGCTATGTATTCTTAATTCCTCAACTGAAAATTAGCCCCTCTGCCTTACACTACCCTAAAGTAATGTATAATAAGCATGGTCAAGGCGGGTTTTTTTTTTTCAAGAGTTATTTATAATTTTTTTGTTATTGCATCTTTTTTTTAATCCAGAACGTACCCCCACCCCTTTTTTTTTTTGTGTTTTGTTTTCCCTAAGTGTTTTTTTTAATCATTGTTATTCTATGAATACAATTCTTTAGTGTAATTTCTGAATGTGCTTATTTATTTGATATTATACCTTGATCTGATTATTTGTTGGTGTTATTTTTGTGATTATACTGAGCTCCCAGAAGACCAACAGTTATTTCACTGATTGGATTTTAAACTGCAACCCCAGCATTGAGTCGGACCATGTGAGTTAGAAGCTTACGAAATTCTATTTTCTGCCAAGTTGTATTTTTTTTTATTGAATTGTAGATTTGTTGCAGAGGAGCGGCTGGCCAGTTGGCAAAACTTACAGGGCTCTCATGCAGGAGACCTAGGTTCAAATCATCAGTAACTTCCTGGATTTGTATTTTGTTGGGGGAAGGGGGGACAAACAAATAAAATCCTAACCT